GAGAGAGAGAAAGCCTTCCCCTGGAGCTGACACCCTGAATTTGGACTTTTAGCCTACTTTACTGTAAGGAAATAAACTTCTCTTTGTTAAAACCATCCACTTGTGGTATTTCTGTTATGGCAGCACTAGATAACTAAGAGAAACATTCGCGTGTCAAGGAACTAAATCCTGCAAATAACCACGTGAATGAGCCAGGGCTTCAAACTGGTTCTGCCCAGTTCAGTTATCGCCAATGAAGCAAACCCCGAACTGACTCAAATTTTTAAAATGTGGGTAAAGCAGAACAATATGCAGAACAGGAAAAATTACGGGTCAAAGCCCTGCTAGAAACTTACTCTCCCTCTTAGAAAACAAGGGCGGTGTGCACATTGCATAGCAACCAAATCTTTTGACCGGCAGAGTTGGAAACAGTGATGCCCCGCTCAAAGATGGCAGCTGACTGCGCCATTTTGAATGTGTGTTGCTCTCCATAGTCCTGGCAATAATCCAGTCTCCTACATCAGGCTCCTGAAAGGGCTCACTATGTTTTTTCCGAGTCTCCAATTCCAGGGCTTTGACTTGTAATTTTTCCCGTTCTGGTCATCACTCCACTTCACTCAAATTTTAAAAATTTGGGTCTGTTCCAATTTCCCTTTACCAGCCATGACTGAACCCATTCAAAGCCGTGGAAGGAGCTTGGAAGTTAATCTCTCTCCATGAGATGACTACAGCCACAGCCAACACCTTGACTGCAGCCTGTGAATGACCCTGAATGAGAGACATAACTAAGCTGTGCACAGATTCCTGACTCACAGAAACTGAGAGATAATAATGTTGTTTTAAGCCTCTAAATTTGGGGTAATCTGTCATACAGCAAAAGGAAATTAATACACTGTTTTAAAATTCTGTATGAACTTTCTGGATTTCTAACATTTATTTTTTCAACAATTGAATATAAAGATCCTCAATATTTCAAAAAATTCAAATTTGGTACGGTCAGTCTTTCAGTTTATATCACTCTTTTGGACTTTAATCTTCTACCCTAAAGCAAGATTAAGAGATTTAAAACAGAAACCCCCCCTGACAAAATACAACAAGTACCAACTGCCTTCTCATTTCTGATTAAAGGAACTCAGTTGCATGCTGGATACTGGCCAGTGCTCACTGATATTTTACTCACTGATAATGTTTAAGTTTCCTTTAGATTTTTTTTTTTTTTAAGTCACCAGACTATCACAAAGGTAACATTGTGTAGGGTAACCACTTGGGTTTCCACAGGATGTTAACATGGTGAGTCCACTTTCAGCATGACAGTGTGAAGACCTGCGCGGACCTGCTCCCAGTGAAACTGGTGAAAATTATAAGAACAAAACAAGAAGCAACCACTTAAAGCCTTTGGAAATGGTAGTAGGGACATAAGACAAAGAAACATTAACTTCAGAAAATTTACTGAAACTCAGTAAAAACAGGGAGAGTCTGTGGTACGTGAACCAAGATCGGCTCCCTACCTACCCCCTCCCAACACAGTGAAACAGAAACTCCGCTCTAGGCTGGTATAGCCAAGAACACAGGACTTGCTCAATCTCCAGCTCCCAGTCAAAGGGCTAGCTTCTTGGGAAGGACAAGACGTTAGCAATTTCTCATCTTGTCGCCAGCTACCTGTTGCTGAGACTAAGTTCTGGGTGTGGCCAAGAGGAACAGGCTCCCTCCTTCTGCTCAGCTCTCAGCTGTGGGAAGAAAGTAATACCCTGGGCATGGCTCCACTGAGAATACTGGGAATCTGTGTGCCCTTGCCCTGTCAGAGAAGGGGGTAGTTTCATGCAAGAGGGAGGCAAGCTGCGAGACTTGAGACTACTGCCATCCCTCCACTGAGTATTCAACTCCTAAAGCAAGCGTGTCACTGAGGGAGAAGCACATCATTGTCATAGCCCCCAGCACCAGACATATGGCTCAGTGATTTTGCCCAAGGTGAGAAGCAAGCTGTAGTACAGACAGTTCCAAATCTTTACCCATGGAAACTTACTTTATTTGCAACAGAGTGTGGCAAAGTTCAAGCCTTAAGGGTGTTCTCAAAAGCAGTAGAGGTTGTGGTGAAAGGCAACCGGAAGAAGACTGATTCATTCAAAATATAGGCCAGGTTATTTTTAAAAGATTTAACTTAAGGATTTCAATTATAACAGAAAAATACATCTTTATTTTAAAGTAAAAATATCTATATATGTGTGTTTGTGTATATACATATATATATATGTATGTTATTGTGTATATATATATATGTATATGTTATTGTTGTTAGCTGCCACTGAGTCAGCCCCTGACTCATGGTAACTCCATGCACAACGGGATCGGATCGCTATGATCCATAGGGTTTTCATTAGCTTATTGTCAGAAGTAGACAACCAGGCCTTTCTTCCTAATCTGCGTTAGTCTGGAAGCTCCACTGAAATCTGCTCAGAATCACAGCAATACGCAAGCCTCCACTGATAGACAGGTGGGGACTGTGCATAAGGTGCATTGGGAGGAAGATGAACTTGGGTCTCCTACATGGAAAAAGTGAGAATTCTACCACTGCCACATATGTATTAAGGATTTGATTCTTCCACTTTAGTACTGCTGAATTTCAATGAAAAGTACCATCTCTTCTACTGATACTCTAAGTTTTCAGTTCTTTAGTCTTATAATTTAAAAGATACAGATTGTAAGAAAAAAATTTAAATAAGCTAAAGCGAGGAGTCTATTTTAAAAAGGAATATAAATTAAACTTAATTTGAAAATCATTTCCCCATGAACAAAACTCTTTTCTAATATATTCAATTTGTAATTGCAATACATATATAAGGCAAATACTACGATCACATTAAGTAGCTCCAACATTAAGAAGCCAAATACTTTGCAATCCTCTATATCATCTAACTGATCCTTATTCTAAAAATTAAAGATAAACAGAAATTAAAGGAAAACTCAAGCAGTTGCCTAAACATATTCACTTGTTTCCTTTTAGAACTGAATTTCTGAAAAATAAGATTTAAAAAGTTTTGAAGGCTAGGGATTTAAAACCTCCTTTGAAAGGATTTATGAACAAGCATTTCTATTTTTCAGTATGTTTTTGTAAACCTTAACAGCATCACTGGGATAAGGCTGACCTTACTGATGGGTCATTCTCCAGGAGTTCAGTAAGCCGCTGTACTTGTTCTGGTTGGATGGATCGTCCTAAAAGTGCTTCTGTGTTGGTGTAGATGAGGAATGCTGAGACCACTCCTAATAAGGTTCCCACACCCAAAGAACCTAGGCTGTCATACAGTGGATTGCCTAAAAAACAGCACAAACGAAATCAGTACAATAACGTTTTGTATTACTTCAATGAGCTTTTGTAAACAAAGAGCTAGAACTAAAAATCAGGGACTTAAAATTAATTCCTAATTACTTTAATTACTTCTCTTTATGATTTTCTCCTAACAGTTTTACTATTCTACAAAATAAGTACATATACTTGCATAAGAGTATTGTGTGGCTTAATTATTTAAGGTCGGTTTCTTGCATCTGACCATTACATTTGTGAAGGCTCAGAACATTTTCAGATTAGAGACATCAAAACCAAAAAACTACTTCTGTTGCCATTTGAGTAGACTCCTACTCACGGCATCCCCATGTATTCACTGTACTCTGTACAACTGCTCCAAAGGGTTTTCTTGGCTGTAATATTTATGAAAATAGATCACCAGGCCTTTCTCTTGTGTCACTGGATGGGTTCGAACCTCCAACCTTTAGGGTATTAGTCGAGCAGAAACTTACTGCACCACCCAGGGACCTTTAGAGACACCGTGTCTGTATTAACAATATAATGAAGTGTCCGTTTCTTCTAGATATATCAGTAACATTTTTCCTGCCCCAGGTTGACAAAATAACTGAATGAGGTCAAAAAGTTGAAACAAAGAACTATCTTTTGTGTCTTATTCCTAACAAGGTTCTGTGAGAGAATGAAGGCCTACAGAAAATGATGATGGGTGATTCTTTATTCTTATTCAACCAAGGATGATAAATAGCTAGTACTATTCTAGATGCAAGGAGAGAAGTTCATTCATTACATACGATGGGTGCCTCCCGGCAGTGGTTCTCAAAGGGTGGTCCTTGAATCAGCAGCATCAGCATCACCTGAGAACTTGGGAGAAATGCAAATTCTCAGGCCTCACCCCATACCTTCTGAATCAGAAATTCTGGATGTGAGGCCTAGAAATTATTTCTTCCCATGGCCTCCAGGTGACTCTGATTCTAAAGTTTGTCTTGGGTTGTTAGGACTTAATTCTGTCCCAGAAGCAAATGAGAAGAACTGGTTTACAATCTGTGAATGTATAGGTAAGACTAAGATAACAGCCACCAGTAAATATTATATTTTAAAGCTCTATAATTTATTCTACACATAGGCCTTTATAACTGGAACAGTCTTTTTCTTCCAAAGATGCAATTTCATCAGTATTAAAATTAACTCTTTTGATGTGAAATACAACACATTCACAAAAAATCTCAATTTGCATACTATATTTTTATTAACATTTTGTCAAAATATAACCCTAAAAAGTAAACTATCTGTACTAAAATGTTAAAAAAGAACCACTTGTACAACATAATCCACTAGATATATATTTATGAAGTTTAGAATCAAACATTGCTGTTCAGAAATCCAAATTTACAGTGTTTTTTTTTTTTTGCTTTTTTTTTTTTATTGTACTTTAGGTGAAGGTTTACAGAACAAATATTTTCTCATTAAACAGTCAGTATACATACTGTTTTATGACATTGGTTAACAACCCCATGACACATCAACACGCTCCCTTAAAGGACTTTTTTTTTTTAATTTAAAAATATCCACTTGTATAAATAACAATCCTACAGGAAATTATTAGCTGGAAGAAAAAACTTCTTTAGAAAATATTTTACTTATTTCTTGGCATGTTATTTAGAAAAATTTTCATTCTGGTGAAATACTTTTACAACATACATACTTTTTAAAGTCTGATTTGACTGATCCATATTATTATGTAAAAATATAATCTATTAAAAGTTGGCATTCATCAAGTCACACTTCAAGCTTAGAATTTTGCTAAGTAACAACTCATGTCAAAAACATTTCTAAAATTGTAAGATCAACCAGAAAAATAATCAATACTTTCGAAATATAGAACATCATAGTGAACATCAGACAATGCTGCTTTAGTCTTCGTATGTGCGTTCAAAATAAGAAAGAGCTATTCATATTTCAGACTATTTTAAGAAACACTGCAAAAAGCTCATCAACTTAAATTATTTTAAATATACAAAGACAAATGGGTAAGAATGGAAAAAATTCCATTCCAAAAGATTTCCCAACTAAGAAATTGAATCTTTCTATACTAAATGGTTTTTTGTTCAAAAAAATTCTCAAAGTAGATTTTGATAGATATTTATAATTAAAACACATAAATTTTATAAATAATACAAATTATTATCAGCAGAATTTTTAACACATAAAAATAAAAATAAAAGAATTTTTCTATCTTCTCATTTACCTGTCTCGTGCTGTTCCTAAAAACACTCAACTAGCTACCAAAATGAGGATGGAGCCCAACTTAAAGACAGTTAAGGAAACAGGAAGGTAACAGCTCTTAGTATTGGCACTAAGAGCAGAAAAAGACAGTTAGAGCCACAGTATATATTTACCTAGAACTTTAGAGTTTATTAAAGCTCTTCCTCATAGATTATCTTAACAAATCTGTTGGGTGACTAGGACAAATGTTATCCACAATTTTATAGATGAAGAATTTAAAGCTCAGACTATTTTAAGAAACAATTCAAGTCACAGCTACAAAAATTTAAATCATAATTTAAATACTGCCAACCTTCCTTAATTCTAATTTTTAAAGTCATGGACACATGAACACATTAACTGACCAACTGTATTACACAAATAAATGGTTACCATGGAATTATTATTTAGCAATCTATTGGTGTAAAATAATTCTTATATAAAAGAAAATTCCCACATATTAGAAAGTTATTTAAGTAACAGAAATAAATCACCAGTAATTTAAGAAATTATTTACCTGTTATGGAAGTAAGACCCATGCAAGTGGCTGCTATCGTCACTCCCAAGACTGCTGCAGTATCCTCCAATAATATAACATTTGTACTAGGATCACGACTTTCCATTACTTAATTGGTGGGAGAAGGGGGAAAGCAAGAAAAGAAATTTTCTGAAATCTTCACTTGATACCATCAGGTGACATTTTAGTAAGTATACATTTGAAATAAAAATATAAATTAAGATAATAAATATAGAAAATCATGATTAAAAAATATAACTTCAATATAAATACAACTTCTTGGCTTAAATGTCAACAATAACCAATATTTAAAATCAAATTACTTTCTCAAGTTATATAAACATACAGAGAAACATGCTAGTACATTTAAGTCATACATAAATATAAAAGTATTCAGGTTCAAATTACACTACAATTCTCTTTTTAAAAGAGGTGATGTATACAATAGACACTTAAAGAAGACACTGAGGTGTATTTTATACATATCTAGAAAGAACAAAGCAATAGGGCTGGGTAATTTTAGGCAAATAAAGGAGATGAAATAATACACCTGGTTTAGAAAATACATACCATACTTGTAAAATGACATTCCCTTGGCCCGAGCACTCCGACGAAGTTCATTTATAGCAACAAGAAGTGTTGCTGAAAGAAAAGCATTCACATCAGCAATGCAGAAACTTTATGTCTCCAAACTTTGAAAGATGGCATCTCAAGAGATAAATAAGCGCAACATTTAATGCCAGCACTGACAATAAGGAATTCTGTATTAACTAGATATTCTCAAGACCTTAATTAATCATCAACAGGTGAATCCCATATTTCTAAACCATAATGCTTTAGTCACAACAATAGTCATAATTTATTGAACAGATACTATTTAGAAGGCACCATCCTAAGCCCATTCTCTTTTGATCCTCCCAACCTTTTGAGGCAGGTGGTGTTATCACCATTTTACAGACTCTCAAAGATGAAGGCAAAACTATGCATAGATGACAGTATTTCTAGGATAAACATACTATACGTACATCAATGAATTAGGAAGGTTACATACATAGTATTGGCACTTCCTCTAACAATACTGCTAACAGCTGAAGCGTTCTAAAACTGAAGTATCCATATTGCAAAAAGAGATAGCCTTCTCTGATTGTTGTTGTTGTTAGGTGCCATCAAGTTGGTTCCAACTCATAGTGACCCTATGTACTGACCCTATGTACAACAGAACAAAACACTACCCAGTCCTGCGCCATCCTCACTATCTTTGTTATGCTTGAGCCCACTGTTGCAGCTACTGTGTCAATCCATCTCATCAAGGGTCTTCCTCTTTTTTGCTGACACTCTACTTTACCAAGCATGATGTCCTTCTCCAGGACTGGTCCCTTCTGATAACATGCCCAAAGTATGCTCGCTTCTAAGGAGCATTCTGGTGGTAATTCTTCCAGGAGGGTTTTGTTCGTTCTTCTGGCGGTCGACAGTATACTCTATATTCTTCACTAACACCATAATTCAAAGGCATCAATTCTTCTTCAGTCTTCCCTACTCATTGTCCAGCTTCCGCATGCATAGGAGGCAACTGAAAACACCATGGCTTGGGCCAGGTGCACCTTAGTCCTTAAAGTGATATCTTTGCTTTTTAACACTTTAAACAGGTTTTTTGCAATAGATGTGTCTAATGAAATGCATCATTTGATTTCTTGACTGCTGCTTCCATGGGCGTTGACTGTGGATCCAAGTAAAATGAAATCCTCGACAACTTCAATCTTTTCTCTGTTTATCTTGATGTTTCTTATTGATCTAGTTGTGAGGATTTTTGTTTTCTTTATGTTCAGGTGTAATCCACACTGAAGGTTGTGGTCTTTGATCTTCATCAGTAAATGCTTCAAGTCCTCTTTACTTTCAGCAAGCAAGGTTGTGTCATCTGCATACTGCAGGTTGTTAAATGAGTCTTCCTCCAATCTGATGCACTGTTCTTCATATAGTCCAGCTTCTCAGATTATTTGCTCAACATGCAGACTGAATAGGTACGCTAAAAGGATACAACACTGACGCATACCCTTCCCAACTTTAAACCACACAGTATCCCCTTGTTCTGTTCGAACGACTACCTCTTGGTCTATGTACAGGCTCCTCAAGAGCACAATCAAGTGTTCTGGAATTCCCATTCTTCACGTTATCCATAATTTGTTATGATCCACACAGTCGAATGCCTTTGCATTGATTAATGTCACTAAAACTCGATTTTTAAAAGCTCAGTATAGTTTTGTTTTTACATTCAATTTCAAGTTTTCTTAGCATTATATTACACTATTCAAGAATAAAACACAGCTTTCCTCTTGCCCCCATCCAGTAGAGGAACAACAGTAATATGTTATGAAAAGAATTTACTCCCTAAAAGTAGACAGAGCTTAGGTTCCTATTCCTAACATTTTCTTTAATCAGTATAACCTGGCAAACTATAAAAATGAACTGCTGAATACACAGTACTATATTGAAAACAAATATTTTGTGACTGTACATACCTCCTTCTGATACCAATGATCCTGCTAAAATACAATATGCCTAGAAAATATAAAGATAGAGCATAAATTAAGTATTCCATCAAAAAAATCACAATTGTTTACACATAAACTTCATACTATCTAATATAAAAGCATATATTAAAACCCCAACCAGATGATAAAGATCTTGATGGGAAACAGCAGGTCAAATTAGGACAAGACAGATGTTATCTTTGGAGGTTGAAGTGTCCTCCAAAAATTCAGGTCTACCCAGAACGTCAGAATGTGACCTTCTTTGAAAATAGGGTCTTTGCAGATACACTTATTTAAGTTAAGATGAGATCATACTGGATCAGGGTAGGCCCTAAACCCAATATGACTGGTATCCTTGTATGAAGAAGCAAGGGCACACAGAAAAATAGAGGAGACATAGGGAAGAGGGCCATGGAGGCAGTGGTTGGGGTGCTGTAGCTACATGCCAAGGAACGTCAGCAACAACCAGAAGCTAAAAGGTAAGGAAGCATTCTTCTCTAGAGCCTTCAGAGGAATCATGGCCCTGCCATCACCTTCTAGCCTGATTGTGGACTTCTAGGCTCCAGAACTGTGAGAGAATAAACTGTGGTTGTTTTTAAGCCACAAAGTTTGTATATTTGTTACGGCAGCCCCGGGAACCTAATAGAGATTTTGATACCAAGTAAGGGGTACTATTGTAACATTTTCTCCCTTTTGGAATGGGAATGTCTATCCTGTACCTGACTCATCATTGTATTTTGGAAGCAGATAACTTGTTTTCTAGTTTCAAAGGTCCACAGATGGAGAAGTGTTTTGTCCCAGACGAATCATAACCCAGAGTCCCATCCATACCTGATTTAGAGGAGATTTTGGACTTAAGAGTTAATGCTGGAATGGATTAAGACTTTTGGGAATGTTGGGATTGAATATATTTTGGCACTTGGGGAGGGCATGAATTTTGGGATTGAATATATTTTGGCACTTGGGGAGGGCATGAATTTTAGGGGGCCAGAGGGCAGACTGTAGACTCCAAAATTCATGTCCACCTGAAATCTCAGACTGTGACCGTATTTGGAAAGAGGGATATGCAGATATAAATAACTTGAGGTCATACTGGATTAAGATGGGCCCTAAATCCGATATTATTGTTGTTGTTGTTGTTGTTGTTAGGTGCTGTTGAGTCAGTTCCAACTCACAGCAACCCGATGTACTACAAAATGAAACACTGCCCGGTCCCGTGCCATGCTCAATCATTGTTATGCTTGAGCCCACTGTTGCAGCCACTGTGTCAATAGATCTTGTTGAGGGTCTTCCTCATTTTCACTGACCCTCTACTTTACCAAGCATGATGTCCTTCTCCAAGGACTGATCTCTCCTAACAACACACCTAAAGTACGTAAGATATAGTCTCGCCATCCTTGCTTCTAAGAAGCATTCTGGTTGTACTTCTTCCAAGACAGATTTGTTCATTCATTTGGCAGTCCATGGTATGTTCAATAATCTTCACCAACACCACAATTCAAACGTGTCAATTCTTCTTCGCTTTTCCTTATTCATCGTCCAGCATTGTCCAGCTTTTGCATGCATGTGATGTATGTAATTGAAAATACCACAGCTTCGGTCAAGTGCACCTTAGTATTCAAGGTGACATCTTTGCTTTTCAACACTTTAAAGAGGTCTTTTGTACCAGATTTGCCCAATGCAATGCATCTTGATATCTTGACTGCTGCTTCCATGGGTGTTGATTGTGTATCCAAGTAAAATGAAATCCTTGACAACTTCAATCTTTTCTCCGTTTATCATGATGTTGCTTATTGGTCCAGTTGTCAGGATTTTTGTTTTCTTTGTGTTGAGGTGTAATCCATACTAAAGGCTGTGGTCTTTGGTCTTCATCAGTAAGTGCTTCAAGTCCTCTTCACCTTCAGCAAGCAAGGCTGTGTTATCTGCATAACGCAGGTTGTTAATAGTCTTTCTCCAATCCTGATGCCCTGTTCTTCTTCATGTAGTCCAGCTTCTCGGATTATTTACTCAGTATTCAGATTGAATAGGTACGGTAAAAGGATACAACCCTGACGCACACCTTTTCTGACTTTAAACCATGCAGTATCCCCTTGTTCTGTTTGAACAACTGCCTCTTGATCCATGTACAGATTCCTCATGAGCACAATTAAGTGTTCCAGAATTCTCATTCTCCGCAATGTTATCCATAATTTGTTATGATCCACACAGTTGAATGCTTTGCGTAGTCAGTAAAACACAGGTAAACATCTTTCTGGTATTCTCTGCTTTCAGCCAGGATCCATCTGACATCAGCAATGATACCCCTGGTTCCACATCCTCTTCTAAATCCATCTTGAATTTCTGGCAGCTCCCTATTGATATACTGCTGCAGCCTCTTCTGAATGATCTTCAGCAAAATTTTGCTTGCATGTGATACTAACGATATTGTTCGATAATTTCCGCATTCCGTTGGATCACCTTTCTTGGGAATAGGCATAAATATGGATCTCTTCCAGTTCGTTGGCCAGGTAGCTGTCTTCCAAATTTCTTGTCATAGACAAGTGAGCACTTCTAGCACTGCATTCGTTCAGTGAAACATCTCAATTGATATTCTGTCAATTCCTGAAGCCTTGTTTTTTGCTAATGCCTTCAGTGCAGCTTTGACTTCTTCCTTCAGTACCACTGGTTCCTAATCATATGCCACCTCTTAAAATGGTTGAGAAGAGGAGACGGCATACAGACATACAGTATGATACACAGAGGAGAACACCATATGAACATGGAGACAGAGGAGATGTGTCTATAAGCCAAGGAATGTCAAAGAATTGTCAACAAACACAGAGAAGCTAAGAGAGTGGCATGGAGCAGATTTTCCCTCAGAGCCTCCAGAAGAAACCAACCCTGCTGTCACCTTGATTTCAGACTTCTAGCCTCCATAACTATAAAATGATAAATTTCTATTGTTTTAAGCCACCTGGTCTGTAATAATTTATTATGGCAGCCACAGGAAAGTAACACGGTATCTTCATAAGAGAAAACAGAACGCACACCTTCTATGTTTGTTTGCCAACCGCACTCTCTGCCCCCATGGTATTTCCGTAAGTGCCACAATGTCAATTTTTTTTTTTGTTACTTAAAAAAAAAATTAGCATAGTGCACTTACAAAAATACCTCACAGGGGGAGAGCCCAGTTGGCAGACAAACATAAAAGGAGCATATTATTTGTGTAAAAATATGGTAGACAAGAGCTTATAAATGTGATGGCCATTTCATTTTTTAATACTTAAAAGAGACTCCATACTCTCTCTATATATTCTATATCTACAGAAAGCTATACTACCTATAATTTGAACTAAATTCATGACAAAAGATGAAAGCAATTAATCAGTGTCTTAGTTATCTAGTGCTGCTATAACAGAAATACCACAAGTGGATGGCTTTAACAAGTAGAAATTTATTCTCTCACAGTTTAGGAGGCTAGAAGTCCAAAATCTATACACTGACTCTAGGCGAAGGCTTTCTCTCAATCTGCCATGGTGGAAGATCCTCATCAATCTTCCTGTGGGTCTAGGAGGTTCTCAGCACGGCAACCCCAGGTCCAAAGGATGCACTCCACTCCTGGCTCTTCTTTCTTGGTTGTAGTAAGTCCCCCTCTCTCTTTTTATCTTTTGTAAGATAAAAGGTGATGCAGGCCACATCCCAAGGAAACTCCCTTTACATCAGATCAGGGCTGTGACCTGAGTAAGGGTGTTGCATCCCACTCTAATCCTCTTTAACATAACCTATTCTTGCCTCATTTATCACAGGCAGATTAGGATTTACAACACACAGGACAATTACATGAGATCACAAAATGGAGGACAACCACACAATACTGGAAATCATGGCCAAGTTGACAGATATTTTGAGGGGACACAATTCAATCCACGACAATTAGTGTAAGTGCTTTTTTTTTAAGTTCCGAATGAACAGAAAAATTTGAAATCTGGGGTTGTAGATGCCAGATGCAATAAAATATCCACACCCATACCTAAGGTAACTTCTGGATTTTATACGGATCCACAGTACCAAGAGAATCCTGATTCACAAAGATAAGTAAATTACTAACAGTAATCAGTTTTTGTTTTGTTTTTTTTTGGGGGGGGGGCACAAGTTTCCTTGCTGTACCAGGACACCTTTCAATTAAATAAAGATGATAAGAGAAAATTTTAGACCAAGGTATACAGAAAGAATTAACCTACCAACACACATTTTAAAAAATTTTAAATGAAATTCAACCCAAACATCTACAGAATTTTCAAAGTATCTTTGTGAAACTCTAGGCTTCCCTGAAATAGAGATTTGAAAAATTTGAACCTAGACCCACATTCTTGTAATTCTGTTAAGGAAACTGAGATCCCCACAAGGTTAGTGATTTGCCTGAGTACACAGAAATTATGTAAGAGAACTAGAATCCAGGCTTTCCAGTCTCTATTCTAGGTTCTTTCCACTGACTCTCATTGCCAACGTGAAACATAATTAACATAGTAGCTAAGTCTCCCAATAATTCTTTTTAGTGTTTCCATCTCCATCCAGAAAGGATTTAAGATACACTTATCACCCAATAAAGACAGAGAGCATATATCACACGAGTATTCCAATATAATATCTAATAAACATACACTGGTCTATATGGCTTATTGAATCTATTATTTATTTAACAAAGGGTCATGGTCAGATGGAGTCCCAATTTGGTTTCTAAAAGACACAAGAGCTTATGGAAACTTTAAAACTTACGGTTGAAAATTTAATAATTAATCAAATCTCCGACTCCAGAGTTATCAACCATTTTGCCTCTGTAAAGTGATACTGTACAAATCAGATGAACGCTTAGAGAATGAGGTATCTGTCTATAAAGCAGCCAAACCTTTTAAGAATGGAGACTATGTATTTGTTTATTTTAATTACATGAAATGTACCACATTAGTTTTTCAGAAAAGAAACTAGTCAATACTATTGGAAAAGCCTATAGGCTTGTTATTATGCAGATTTATATGGCATAACAGGATGTTTTCAAAACGCTTGAAAACAAAACAACAGGTTGCAAGTACCCCCTACATTCCAATGTGAGGTGCTAGACCATCTATTCAGGACTTGCACAGAAGTGGCCCAAGCTTGGTTTTACAACTACTAGCTTCACACCCACAAGACCATATAAGAAGACCTCAGGTTAAGGAGGCTGAAAGAGAAAATTTCTTTGGTGAAAGTTGTTGAACTGTTGAGATTGCTAAAAAAGCTTGAATTGTGTCCCCTGGAGTCTGGAGGTCGCAGTGAACTGTGTCTGATGCACACCTGAAAAATAAATCTACAGAGAAGTCTACTAAATGACACTGGCTGTGTTCATAGAGTAGATGATTGTGTTTGGGGAAAAACTGCACTCCCACAGTGTGTGTTAAAGATGTTTGTTTGCTGGGGCCCAGATAAACAGGGGTCTTTTGAAAAGAGACCAACTGCCCAAAAAAACCTTTTTTTACTAAATGCAAGGCAACTTCAGCAAAAATAATCTGGAGCTACACCAGGAGATGTAGAAGCAAAGAGGGGATACTATTTGACCAATTTTTGCTTGTCTTAGGAGCTACAGTCAGAGGTGCCAAGCAGGGGAATCTCTAGAAAAAGTGCTCTTGAGAGAAAAAGACAGCTATAAACATCTACAAAGGACAGAGGAAGCCAATGCAAAATGACACTGGTGCTATTAAAGCAGTACTTTTTCATCCCTACCCTCACTTTCAATGATGCTAGAGGCAATTTAGGAAGTAGGAAAGAAGGGTAAAAGGCCTAGGTGGGGAAATAAAGAAGGTGACCATTCTCCCATTCTCCCATCCTCCCATTCCCCCACTGCAGGCTTACTGCAAGGTCCAAGATGAGAGAAAGGAAAAGCTGGAACTTTAAATGCAGTTTCAACTTATGACTGTTACATGGGATCGGATATTTTAATTACTAAGACTCTTCTTGAGACTAAAAGGGAGTAAAAGTAAACACAGAGCTTTTTGTTCTTCAACAATAACTGGAGAAATAAAAGAATATGCCCAAGATTTTATCCAGAGAGGCAAGGCTTAATTGTACCTACAGAGTTTCTCTTGTTCAACATTACTGAATCATACAGATTTAGAGGTCATGTCCATCCATTCACGTTCTAAAAAACAGAACTATAGATACATAACCCTAGAATCCACAATCAAGAAGATAATGTTAGGCCCCCTCTTGAATACCAATATCACAAAAGCATTCTATTGCACTTAAACCACTATTTCACATTACTTCAAAACTAACACTAAAAAAAAAAAAAAAAAAGGATTACCCATAGGAGAGATTCCATAGGTTGAGGATTAAGCAATCCTATGACTCCATGGTACCAAGACAGTCCTGCACCCATCATGAAAATACCAACACCACTAATCAGTGAAGCAATATAGCGCATATTTGAAAATCCATATCTGAAAAATAAAAAAAGATACTATAGTTTACAAGAAATAGAAATGGATTCTTTTCAAAATTTATTCTTAATAGGTCAATTAAAAAAATACTTTTTTTCTTCAAATATCTAGATGCTATCTATAGTTTCATATCTAATTAAAATATAATTGTCAAACTCAAATCTAATTAGAAAAACAGTATAGAAAGTGGAAGTAACGGCAATATCTCTGAAAACATATTAAAATAAAGTGAATATCATTCAATTCAGGTTATTTTCTAATGCCTTTCCACAGTCTACTTTGATCTAGTAGTGCTACTTTATTATTATGTACCACAGATGCTGATGAAATTAATTTTATCTGTTTTTTAAATGCATTCAGATGTTTAATGAACAGGATAACATTTAAATTTCCATGTAATGCAGATTCTAATTGAATATTTTGGTCTTTATGTGCAGTCTATCTATAATTTATATTACGTATAATTTCATGCTGGATATTTGATGCTGGTTCTGAATAGTTTAGCACACAGCCAACTATCAACTATTACTAGGACTAAGAGCTTCAGTTTTCTGGTTTGTTAATAGCTGCATTTTGTTAAAAAAAAAAAAACAAACACACAACCAAAAAACTTCAGTTATTTTTCAAGTATCTTTGGTCAACATGTGCGTTATTTTATACTGTTGTAAGCATCAATAAAATAATAAGTATTATGAAGTTCAAACATCCTACATTTCATAGAGGGTAAAGAATTGCTAATTAATAAAAATATTTCCTGGAAAATTTACTTCCAAACCCAAGCTCTATAGCACCCTTCCGGCAGATGCAAATTTAAACAAATCCTTAATTAAAATTGTTCTTTGAATTCTTTTTGCAAAGATGTAATCTTGTCATAGAGAAGTCCCAGTTTATAGATTGACAATGTTCTACAAGTTTCATTTAGAAATATTTACTTTCTTCTAAATAAAATTAAAAATTTAGTCCTTTGGTCACATTAACCCCATTTCAAATGTTTCACAGCCAATACAGTGACTAGAATATGGGATAGTGCAGCTATGGAATATTTCCATCATCACAGAAAATTCTACTGAACAGCACCAGTGTAGATTATTGAAAATACCTTGAGAAGAAATCTTCACAAACTAAGGTTTAAAAATTTTACCTTGTTTTTAAATCTTTGGTATATAAAACTGGTCAGGGACAAAAATGATTTTTCTTGAGACAGCAAAACACTGTAATGATGTATATTATTGATCTAATAATTACAGAGCTATTCTCTACAACAGCTTTTGGTAGTTACGGGATACCAGGATGCTACTATTTATAAGAACACGGTAGTGCCTTGTATTTGAATAAAGAACGGCATATTTAAAGCATAGACTCCTTTACAGAAATAAAGGTGTCTTTTTTTCTTAAGAGTGATCAAATTCTATTACTGAAGCTTGTTCAAAAATGATGCATGTGGAATTCAAAAGTTTTAGCCAGTTATGCTTGAAGAAGTAACAGACAAAATCTTTGTCTGATACAACTCAAAACAATATATTCTAAAAGGTATACAAATTTAGAAATAGATAATTTTGAAATATTAACAAAATACTATTTTCAAATCACAACAGAAGAGTTAAAATAAATATGGATTTAACATAAGTTGTCACCAAAATTTTAGTTTTGATGGCCTATTAATAGCTCTAAATCTGGAATATATGTTTCCTTTAATGGAAGAAAAACAGAACTCTAAGATCAAAATATGTAATTTGTTATTATCAAAGACGAAAAGGACAAAATCTCCATGCTGTGTTACACAGCATAAAAATAATTTACACACCATTTTCAAATTATACCTTCAATTTACTTTGACACTGCGGTGAGTCCTGCATTTTAGATACTACAGAAGTAATGACCAAATCTTTTACACAAAACTGCAGGTATATAAATTGCAGGAAATTTCTAAATTCAGTTGCTTTTATTTCAATGACTTGCTGCCAAAACAAATAGAAACAAAATAAAGGCAATGTTCTTACGGATGTGTAGGGTCTGGTGTCTGAACAGACTTACTGATGCCCAATGCTAGTAAACCCTACGGAGAAGAGAAAAAAAAAAGGTAATCATTAACAAGATGAGGAGTATAATAACGTAAAGCCAATCTGTAGGGTGCAATCATTGTCAGATATCAAAGAAATACTTAACACAGACATATCCAATGGTCCAGCAATTCTTCTCAGTACCTACCTTAGAGAAATAAAGATGAACCCAAACCTGGAAGCAATCTAAACATCCATTAATGAGGAACAACAAAACAAATGATGGTATAGCCAAACTATAAATTACTTCTACCGCAGTTTAAAAGAATGGGGTTGGGGTAGATCTTTCTGTGCTGATATGGAAAGAGCTCCTAACATACTGTTAAGTGGAAGGAAGAGAGCAAGTTTAAAAACTATATACGCAGTACAGAATAATTTCTGTTAAAAAAAAAACTCTACATAATTCTGTAGTTTTTAGAAATACAATGTCAGACACAGGAAAAGATCTGGATGAACACATATTTAACTGTGGTTATACTTCTGAGGAGGGAAGTAGCATTAGGGTTCCCTGTAATGTCTGATTTTTATAGAAAGAATAACTTGTATAGTTGTATAAATAAAAGATAGTAAAAATTTAAAAATATACAAAATAGTATATAATGCATATGGGTACAAACATTTGTAGTATAACTGTACAACCCATGCAAAGGAAGTATATAACACATCAAAGTATAAAGGATAGGCGTGAAAGAGTCTGAAATAATTTCAGGTGTAAAAGGGAGGGAATAGAAAGGGAGAATTAGTTGTAACTAACATTAAAAAAAAACATAAAATAACTATGACAAAAATGTTAATGTTTTTAATTTTGGGTATCATCTTCCTCTCTTTCCCTCCTTCCTCCCTTTCCTCCCTTCTCGCTTGCTTTCAACCTTTCCTCCTTTCTTTCTCCCTTTCTATTTAATTGTTTTTTTCCATTTTATCCTTTGTTAAAGTGTAATCCACTGGAAACTCTCAATATCAGTACGCCTACACCCAGAAGTCCTCATCATTCTAACTTGAGGTGAATTTAGAAATCTGAAAAACGTAATATTACCTTATTAGAACTTTTTTTTTTAAAAAAGTACAAAGCCTCTATGTGACTTTATTTGATGGATGTGGGACTTTCTCTTTTTTTCAACATGGTACCAAATGATCAGGCAGGTAAAGCTTCTTGATAACCAAGGTCTTCATAGATGAAGTCTCCCTGTAGGCTACAGTCATTTAATAGAAACCTTCTCTCTAGTAAAATACCTAGAGGTTAAACCACTAATTGTTAAAACACAAACATTTACTGGATTTTATAATGTTCTGAAATTAGAAATTGTACTCTAATTGTGTATATTACAGTTTTTTCTACTGGATTCCAAAGAAAAGGAGGTAAAAGATACCTAAAGTGTAGATAACTTTTCAGTGAATCAAAATGAATGAGAATAAATTAAGAGATGCAAATAATTCGCTTTAAGAGAAACTAAAATACTAATTATTAATTCATATTTTACTATGTGTATGTGTGTTTATAATATTTAAGAAATAAATGAGTATTATTTTTTAAATCCTTAATACTCAGGTTGGCTGTGCAATGAAGTGTGGAATATCATCAACTATTTTATAAATATATATCATATTTATTATTTCTTATAAAAATCAGACATCAGAGCCACCCTAATCCTCCTCTTCCCCAGAGGTAGAAGCACAGTTATGTTTCATATGCATCCTTTCAGACTTTTTACTACAGTCACAATATACATACATGACAGTTTTATTTAGACATATATACGCACATACAGAGATATAAAATCTACACAGCATCCGTTTGGTTTCCAACATAATGAACGTTAACTTTTAGTGGCTAAGAAGCATTATTAATGCTCCCTGCCTCCATGATCATCGTTCTCTTTTTGTTTGTTTCTTCAGTACCATACTACCATGCAGCTGCTTAAATGCTGCCTTGGAATATCCTTCTAGTTTTTCATGTGTCTATGACTTGCTTACAGAGTAAGGGTCATCTTCTTCTAAACACTCACTACATTGCAAACTCAGGGACTCAATTTGTGAGTTAATATTAAATGATATGCTTTGAATCATTTAGCAGAAAAGTTTGAACTCACAGAAATCATAAAACAAAATACTATGATAGACACAGATCTAATTTAAAAGTTGTAGGTTTCTTAGTCTCTATTTCTGTAAGTTTGTGTGCTTTTGGTATTATTTCTTCCTAACTATTTGATAGAATCCTCTTGATATTGTCCCACAGGTCAGTGAGGCTCAATCTCATTTCTTCCAGTCTTTTTTCTCTCTAGCTTCAGTATGAACATTTTCTGTTGCTATATATTCAAGGCCACTGATCATTTTATTGACAGTATCTGTCATTAATTCTAGACAGTGAATTTTTCATATCAGATACATTTTTCAGCTCTAAAAGTTCTGTTTTTTTTCTTTTTTCTGTCTTCCATTTCTCTACATTCGTGTTTTCCTTTAAATGTATGAAAGCAGTTGTAATAGTAGTTTCAATGTCCTTGGTCTGTTAATTCTATCATCTGTCATTTGAGTCTGTGTTTACTGACTGATTTTTCTCCTGGTTATGAGTCACATTTTCCTGTTTCTTGGCAGGTTAATATCACCGTGGATGCTGAACACCATGAATGTTACACTGTTTGGATTTTGTTGTCCTCCTTTAAAGTATGAGGGGCTTTGTTCTGGCAGGTAATTAAGTTACTTGAAGATCAGCTTGATCCTTTAGAGCTTTGTTAGGAAGGATCTAGAATAGCCTTACACTAAAGATAATTTAGCCCTGCTACTAAGGCACGAAGGAGCTCTGGTGGTGCAATGGTTAAGTGCTCAGCTGCTAATCGAAAGGTTGGCAGTTCGAACCTACCAGCTGCTCCACAGGAGAAAGATGTGGCGATCAACTTCCACAAAGACGACAGCCTTGGAAACCCTATGGGGCAGTTCTACTCTGTCCTATAGGGTTGCTATGAATCAGAATCGACTCAACAGCAATGGGTTTGGTTGAGCAAGTATTAAGTATTCATTGAATATAAAAATCAAATTCAAGGTAAACACTGTTAATATTAATGTCAAATGCTTGTCTTCCTTCCTTAATGCTACAAAGGGTTTTCATCCATTTGACAGTGAGTTAGACTAGTTCTCAGGTTTAATTTTTGCTTAAGATTGCTCCCCCTACACCTTACCATTTTATTATTTTTAACTTTGTTTCAAATATTCTTATTGTGCCTGGGTCTTTTAAGTTGTTCTAAATCTGTTCTTACATATCAGGAGTATAAATAAACTAACACTGAAAAGATACTCTCTTAGTACATCACACTCTTTAAAATGTGAAATAATTCACAAGCAGAAATTTTTATTTTATTATTAGAAAAGGCTCAGGTTTGTAGTATTCACAATTTAGGTCAAAGAAGGTTTTAAAAGATTATTTTAATTTTCTTCATTTGCAAATTCAAGGAAAGCAATCCAAACTACCAGTCTAAAGTGAAAAAAGTTTTAATGTACCAATTTTATTTTTATACAAATAACACACGCCTTCTAAGTTGGTTTGCCAACTGCGCCCTTCCTCTGTGAGGTATTTTCCTAAGCACGCTATACTAATTTTTTTTTTACAGCAACGTGTAAAAAAAAAGCGGCAATGCGCCACTTACAAAAATACCTCACGGGGGGCGGGTGCAGTTGGCAAACAAACGTAGAAGGTATATGTTACTTGCGTAAAAATATGGTAATTTGTATCTTCATTCAAAAAACTTGAATTCATTGGGCAAATTTCTACCTAATGTAAGAATGCCTTCTACAAAAGACTCTGCCGAAATACTTAAGAGTGGCTGATAATCCTACACTTCACAGTCCACTGTTGGAAGTTCTGAAAGCATAATTATAAACCTGCTTTAAAGTACTGTGATCATATTTCCACACATTTCATGCTCAAAAATAAATCAATTTTCATTTTCTTCCATAAATGAACTATTATAGCAATCACTCAGTTTTTAAATAGGTCAACTTTTAAAACTAAAGCCCAAAAAAAAAAAATTACTTTAAAATTAATAAAAAAAAGAAGCCTTTACAGGCTCTCACCTGATTACATGTATCAGATAATGAATGTATAGCTTCTGAGAACATACTTGCTGAACCCGTATAAATCCAGGCAAGAAACTTAAAGAAACAGTTTAATCCATTGCTAGGAGAAAAAGAGAAAACAATTTAGCATAAGTTTTGACAAAAATGTCTACCAAAAGCTTATTTAGTTGGCTATGTATGCCTCTATACTAGATTCTGTTTAGAGTAAATTAAAAAAGAATCCCTAACCTTAAAGAATTTATCCCTGTACAGGTAACAAGGATACAAATTTGAAAAATACAGATTATATAATCATTGAGTACTCAAATGAAGGGGCATTCTATGTCTAAGCAAATTACTCAATCATACTTTGAGAACTCATGAGAAAAGAGGGTATTATATGCTTGGGCAAGATCAAAGAAGAAAATTCTGTGTCTTCGGTAGGGAAAGAGGATCTGCACTGTGTCTAATAGGCCAGGGTCAAAGGCAAGACTTTGGTGACCATCTTCACTTCAGTAGGCAGATGCCAGAAGCAAGGGTAAAACTAGACCAAGCCATCTCAGGGTCACTATAGAAGACCAAAGATGCTACAGTAAACAGTTATTCTGAGAAAGCTGGCTGCTCAGATTCCAACAGTAATGACGGCTGTGATTTATCTTAGGCACTACACTAGTCACTTACCAGGATATGCTACTTACTTAATTTTCACAGAATTATACAAAATTAACATTCTCATTTTATAAATGAGGAAATTTTATATATCCCTTTCCAGCTACCCCCTGCTCCTCTTCTCCACTTCAGAAAATTTCTTGAAAGAATCCTATCTATTCTTGCTATCTCAGTTTTCCTCACTTTGCACTAAGTCCTCAAGCCACTAAACAATGGCTTCTGCCTCCACTCATTAGATTGTTTTTATCAAGATCACCAACCATTCCATGTTTTAGTATTTTCCTTAACCTCTTAAGAGTGTCTCCCACTATTTTCTTAAAACATGGTCTTCCCTTAGTTGCCTTCTATCTTGCTCCTTACTCTTCCTCAGTCTCCTCTGCAGGGTCTTCTACCCATTTTCTTAAATGTCAGCATTCCTCAAGGTTTTGTCCTGAAGTCTTTTTCTTCCTCACACTAAGCACATATTCCCTGGTGATCTTAACTACTCCTACAGCTTTAATTACCATCTATATACTAATTAACTCTTGATCTCTGGCCCAGATCACCCTCCTGAGCTTCAGCTCAATATATACGAACAGTATTTATTAAGTGCATATTGTGTACCAGGTACTATGCCAAACAGTTTATATACACTACATACATATATACATTCATCCCATGAGGAAAGTGTCATGGATTGAATTATGCCCCCACAAAATTGTGTGTATCAATTTGGCTGGGCCATGATTCCCGGTATTGTGTGATTTTCCTATATGTTGTAAATCCTGCCTCTATGATGTTAATGAGGGAGGATGGGCGGCAGTTGTGTTAGTAAGGCAGGACTCAATCTTCAAGGTTAGACTGTGTCCTAAGGTAATCTCTTGAGATATAAAAGAAAGAAGTGAGCAGAGAGAGGGGGTGTAGGGGCCTCATACCACCAAGAAAGCAGTGCCGGGAACAGAGTGCATCCTTTGGACCCGGGTCCCTGCGTGGAGAAGCTCCTAGTCCGAGGGAACATTGATGAGAAGGCCAATAGAGAGAAAGCCTTCCCCTGGAGCTGACGCCCTGAATTTGGACTTTTAGCCTACTTTACTGTGAAGAAATAAATTTCTCTTTGTTAAAGCCATCTACCTGTAGTATTTCTGTTACAGCAGCACTAGATGACTAAGACAGAAAGCTGTATTTATCATCTCCATTTTACTGAGGAGAACTAAACCTGCTGGTCATTTCCATTTGGCTAACCTACAGACATCTCAAACTCTAAAATGAACTCCATTTCCTCTGCTCCCACTTTGCCCTTCCTTCCAATGCTCCTTCTCTCAGTGAAAGGTACAACATCTATTGCACTGCCCAAGCCAGGAACCTGAGCGCCATCCTTAATGGTACCTCCTAAACACTTCTTTAAGGAATCATCTCAAGTGTTGTATCTTTTATGAAGCTTCTCCTTACCACCCCAGAATTGATCAATTCTCCTTAAACACACTTCAATCTTAAGCCTACATTGCTTTATTTCATGTACTTGCCTCCCCTATTGGACTATGAAGATCCTTGGAGATAGGAATTGTGCATTATACCTCTGTATTTTAAGACCTTATCACACTACATGACATATATATGTATTTTGGAAACAAAAGAACTAATGAATTAAGAAATTAATGTTTCTATACATCCTAAAATAAAGATTAATTTGTTAAACAAACAATATAAGGCAAGAAGACAGAAGAAAAAAGAAAACGGGTAAAAAACATCAAATATGTTCTTCCTGTGGAATGTGAGCAGGTTTTGCTGTGTGTATTTTCAACAAAAATATTATATATATATATATATATATATATACACACACACACACATATACAAAACCAAAATCCACTACCATCGAGTCAATTCCAACTCATAAGGACCCTATAGGGTAGACTGGAACTGCTCCATAGAATTTCCAAGGAGCAGCTTGGTAGATTCCAACCGTCAACCTTTTGGTTAGCAGCCAAGCTCTTAACCACTACACCACTGGGGCTCCTATATACGTGTGTGTATGTGTGTGTGCACATATATATACTCTTCCTAGGAAACTGGAAGAAAAATAACAAGTGTACAGATATTCCTCAGTAACTATAAACCAGGTTGGTTTATGGCCTAAAAGCAATCTTGGTCAATCCAACTTTTTAGAAGACTTCTATCAAAACCAGTGAAAATAAGAAAGGATTTTCAGGTAGCAATTATTCTTAGATCTTAATCATGTTAAAAATATACATGGCACAAGCTTGGGTGTGTATGTGTACTAATACTCTACCCGCACAGCTTTACTGGCAATAAACACTAAACTCATTTGCCTCCTAAAACAATATAAACCTCCAGCTCTTTATCTAGCTACTAAGTAATAAACTGATACATTCAAGGATATACACATTAAAAATAACACATTTATTTTTAAAAATAAGATATTTCTTATTTTTTCAGGACTTACATGCAAATGGCAAACATCACCACTTTTCCTGGTCCCTTGAAAAACACCGATGTCATTCTGGAGCGTGGCTGTAAAAAACGAGAAGAAAAAAACCCAAAAAATTTGCCAGAGAAGCACTATAATTGGAAACTCTAATACACTAGAAAATTCCTCCTCTAACAAAACCTGTGAATAACTATGTTTACTTATTTAATTCTTTTTCTCCAGAATTTTCTCTTTAAAAGGTGGGAAAATGGAAATTGAAAGTACATCTGGGTCCTTTTTTAGAACCTAAATTGTTTGCTTCCTTGCAATTCATGTCCTACTTCCAGAAATGATCTCTGTCAGCTACATAAAAACTCTGATAAAGTGATAAAAATGAATTGAACTAAAACCCATATTCTTAAAATTTCTCCATTCCTTCAGCATTTGTTAACCTTTAAAAAAGGACCAGCAAGTGTCAATAAGTCTGCTGCTCAAATTTAACTCCTGACTGCTCTCTCAAGACCAAAGACCTCAACTGATAATAATGTATTTATTCCAAAGCAGATCAAATAAAAGAGAACAAAAAAAAGTATGGAAACATATTCAGTAAACGCATTTTTTATGAATTTAATTTTATATGTTCCCTTTTGCTGTTACTTGAACATACACTTTCTGTGTCTTTTCTCCTGTTTCTTCTTCCTCCTGGAATGCTATCACCTTCCACTGCAATCTAAGTCTTTCCCATCCTCTTCTATGTCTAGCCAAGTGTCACTTTTCTACATAAAACACTACTTGATCCCTCACACAGAAGTAACTGCTACAAATTCATTACTGTACTTTACATTTCTATTAAAAGCAATTCATATATTCTTCCTTGTATAATTTATTCAATAAATATTTACTGTGTAACTACTGTATGCCTGGCACAGTTCTGGATGCTAGGGATGTGACAGTAAACAAAACAATAGTTCCTGGCTACACAGATCTCACCATCTAGTATAGGAGGACAGAGAATAAATACAGAAACAACTATATAATACCAACCCTCAAGATGGATTGACACAGTGGCTCCAACAACAGGCTCAAACGTAACAACAATTGTGAGGATGGTGCAGGACTGGGCAGTGTTTTGTTCTGTTGTACACAGGGTCACTATGAGTCAGAACTGACTTGAGGGCACCTAACAACAATATCAGATAGCGATGAATATAACAAAGAAAATAAAACCGAACACTGAGGTAGAGTAATGTGGTAGGGTGATGTAGTGGAAACGGTCATTTTAGTGATGGTAATCAGAGAAAGAGGCTCAATGCTGAGAAGAAGGCAACCATGAGAAGATGTAGAAGAAGAAACGTTTCAGGCAGAAGGAAAAGTTCAAAGATCTGGGGACAGAAATAAGCTTGGTGTGTACACAGGATAAAAATAAGGCCAGTGGATACAGCAGAGAGAGCAAGGAAAATGGTATGTGTTGAGGCCAGAGAGATAGGTAGGGGCCATATCCCACAGGATTTTACAGACTATAGTAATGAGTTTGAATTTTTTTATTTTAATGGTATTGATTCATTGTCATTAGAACATGCATTTTTAGAGTATTAGCACTAGAAATATTATAAAGATTGTTTTTCTTGATATTCTTAGCATTCTTGTCTTTCCCCCTTCACCCGCAACTCCTCATTCTTACCCCTCACCCAAAAAAATACCCATTGCCATCGAGTAGATTCCGACTCATAGGGACCCTATATCTTTTATCTCAATGGATTTGTCCATTCTAGGTATTTCATGTAAGTCGGATCAGACAACATTTGGACTTCCATAACTCACTTATTTAACTCCGCATAATGTTTTCAAGGTTCATACATGTCATGGCACATATCAGAATTTCATTTCTCTTTATGGTTGAATAATACTCTATTTTATGTATATATTGCATTTTGTTTATCCATTCTTCTGTTGCTGGACACTTAGGGTGCTTCCACCTTTCGGTTATTGCGAATAATACTTCAGTGAATACTGGTGTACATGTGTCTGAGTTGCTGCTTTCAATTCTTTTGGCTGTATACCCAGGAGTGGATTACTAGGCTGTATGGTAATCCTATGTTTTTTAGGAACCACCAAATATTGGTTTCCACAGCAGCTGCACTACTTTACGTTGCCACCAGCAGTGTATGAGTGTTCCAGTTTCCCCACATCCTTGCCAATGAATTTTATTCTAATGGCAAAGCGAAGTCACTGGAGGACTCATGCAGGGAATTGACATAATCGATTTATATGTTAAAAAAATACAGATTATAATATAGAAAATAGACTATGGGATAAAAAGCAAAAGTCGGAGAGATCAATTAGGAAGGCATTTCAGGCAGGAGATGATGGTAGTCTGGACTAATGATTCAATAATGACATGGCGAGAGGCAGTCATAGTAGGAATCCATTTTGGAGAAAATACCAATGGAATTTGCTAACCCTGAAGATTGAAAAAAAAAAAAAGAGCCTAAATGAATCTCTAACGTTTGAAAGTTGGGTAAAGAAGCAGGAATCTTTACAAAGAACACAGGAGGAATTAATGAGGTGAGAACAAAACTAGAAGAAAGTATCATCTTGGGCTCCTAGGGAATAAGGTGTTTCAAAGAAGAGGAATACATGCTCCTGGGGGGAGACACCTGAACACTTCTTTCTTACTTCTCTGATTTTCATGAAAAGGGATTTCCTCCCCCTCCCCAGTATATTGTTGGTCTCTTGCACACAGTTCCTCCCTCCTTCCCACTGGCCTCCTGGGAGCTGACTAAGTTATCTGACAGGTAAATTGGTAAATTTGGGAGAAAATGCCCAGCATGCTTAACTTCTTCCTTTATTTTGGGATTTGTTACACATTCTGCTCCGTTCTTCCATATCTTATGTTTTTACACAGCTTTGCAACAGAGCAAGGGGGATGGAGTTGGCTATAATTTGCTAGTTAAGTCCAAATAAGGAGAAGCTTTATGATCTGATGCAAAGGCTTGGAACCTTGAGAAACAGGTGAGGAAAACAGATATGGGGTGAAATTTGAGGCTTTTAGTGGGGTCATGCCATGTAGGATTTTGTTCTTGGTAAGTTATCACAGCTTATGGCAGTTTTGTCCCCTGGCAGGCGGGCTACAATAGCCTTGAGTAAGCAGGAATGGGCCTCAGCAAAGGTGCAGGTCTTACAAGGCAGGCTACTGTAGCTTAACCTTGAATTCTACAGATGCAACCTGGCCTAGTATTGTCAGCAAAGCTGAGGTGGGATTCCATTTCAGGTATTAACCCGTTGCCATTGAGTCAATTCCAGCTCATAGCAACCCTACAGGACAAAGCAGAACTGCCTCAAAGGATTTCCAAGGCTGTTACAGAAGCAGACTGCTACATCTTTCTCCCACAGAGTGGCTAGTGGGTTCAAACTGCCAACTTTTTTAGTTAGCAGCTGAGCACTTAACTATTGTGCCCCAGGAGCAAAATGCTGTTTTTGCTCCCTTATAGTCTTTTTCAGCCAGATCTACAGGCCAGGATTTTAACAGCACCTCAGTTCCATGCAGACAACAGAGCAACAGAGAGATGTAGCTCTAAAGTGTTAGGACGAGGCCTTGACTAACAGTGTGAAATCTGCTGCTCCAAATTCTGTTTTGAACTGCCTTCAGGGCTAACAGAAGGAACTAGGCAGGGACAGTCTTTGTGTTAATGTTGCTTATCTAAATTCAACAACTCTAACATCTCCAACTCAGATTTGTAAGCTAAAACTTCTGACCATGGCTCTAGATTTCTGAGTTCTACTGTTTATTGATAAACAAAAAACAGGGTGTGTGTGTGTGTCTTATTATAAAGAGAATGTGTCATATCCTTTGGTTAAGAAAAAAACTCAGTGAAACTATTATAAGAACAACAGAAAATTAATACAAGCTAATGCAAACATACTGCTTAAGTTGGAAGATGAGAGAGATTTCTTTAGAATAAAGGTTTAAGAATTTATGGGATAGACAAGACAGATAGGGAAGGAAAAATGAGTTCTTTAAGACCAGGACAGAATGTCATAACAAAGAAAAAAAGATGGAGATTAAACTGCTCTTAAAACAGAGGGCAGAAAATGTGTGTTGGTAATAACTAGGTCAGAAATAGTGACAAGGCTCAAGGAAATCTAACACTAAGACAAGCAAGATTTGGAAAAGCAAGAGATCCACAGGGAACCAGATTACACAACACTCTTGGAAAGCATCCTATTAAAGCTATCCATAAATTCCAGAAAACCAATTGGAGAGCTACATCTTAAAAATCAGCATGGTAAAACGCTGATAATTATTGAGGCTCAATGATGGGTATAGTAATAATTTATTTTTTCTATTTTTGTATATGTTGAAAATTTTTCATGATAAACAAGTTTTTTTAATACTGAGACAAGTATAGAAAATTTGGTTAGATTTCAGAGAGGGCCACCAGGAAAACCAGCATAAAATACTCAAAGCAACATTAGGTGCATTTCATAGTGATACTGTTACTGCAAGCAGAGATAAAGGCATTTCTAGTGATCTGAATTCTAAGATATTCATGGAATTAGGATTCTAAAGGAAGGCATAAGAAAGTAAAAAAGTATTAAAGAAGAGCCATACAGTGAGGGAGAACAATGAGAAATTAGACCATCATAGGGTTAGATATTGCTTTGATGAGAGAACACTTTGGCAGACCCAGAACACAGTGACTTCACGTACCTCACTACTGGAATTCCCGTAAGACAAAGAAGAATAATACAGAAAAAGAAGAGTCTGGGTTAGAAAGCAAAAAATAAGTAAAAACAACAAAGGTATTTCATTCCAACAAATAGGACTAGCTTTGTATGCGTTAGAGAAGGAAAGCAACCATATTCAGTGGGAGGGCAAATATTCCTAAAATTAACAGAGAAACAGGAGAGGGAAATAAAATACTAAAGGCTTATCCTCCTACTACTACAAAAAAAGAGTATAATAGAAAGAAATTCTATTCAAGGACTGGAACACTGAAAAGATGAGAAGTATTAGTTTTCAAAAGGCCTCTGTCTTAGTTATCTAGTGCTGCCATAACAGAAATACCACAAGTGGATAGTTTTATCGAAGAGAAGTTTATTTCCTCACAATCAAAGTAGGCTAAAAGTCCAAATTCAGGGTGTCAGCTCTAGGGGAAGGCTTTCTCTCTCTGTTGGCCTTCTTCTCTTCAGTGTTCCCCTGGACTAGGAGCTTCTCCGCGCAGGGACCCCGGTCCAAAGGACGTGCTCTGCTCCCAGCACTGCTTTGTTGATGGTATGAGGTCCCCATCTCACTGCTCACTTCTTTTATATCTCAAGAGATTGCCTCAGGACATAATCCAGTCTTGTAGATCAGGTCCTGCCTTACTAACACAACTGCTACCCATCCTCCCTAATTAACATCATAGAGGCAGGTTTACAACATACAGGAAAATCACACAGTACCAGGAATCATGGCCTAGCCAAATTGATACACACATTTTTGGGGTACATAATTCAAACCACGACAGCCTCTTAGTGGCACAGATTTCAAAAGTCAGCAGTCACAGTTTAGGAACCTGGTGAGGATGATTCTCCATGTGAAATGGATATGAGAATAGGAGAAAATCTTCCCAGGAGGCAGGTCTCACTCACCTACATCATTCCATAGCAAGAGGAGGTGGCACTGGCCTCTATAGCACAGGAGTACAAATGCTGGCTCAAAAGACATGTGGATGCTCTCCCACTAAAGAGGGTCCACACTTTCAGTGCAGTCCTGGGGTGACAGATACACAGGGGTCAAGGGGAAAAGGAAATTAAGAGGTTCTGAATGGATGTGAAAGAAAAGCACATCAAATAAGATGTGACTACAGTTTTCACCACTGCTGATTTCTAAATTTTACAAGAAGGGAGCAATATCTTAAATGCCACTCAGAGAGGAGACGGTTTGCATAGGTAGCCATTTCCCCAGATACGGTATTAATTTCTTGATGGGCGATCCCTCCCAGCTAAATTTAAATTCAAAGTTCAACTCTGGACATTGACTGCTTTGCATCTTGTAGGTGCCGATGACTTTAGTAGGAGCCATTTCAGAGAAGTGGTGGGGATGAAAGCCCAATTGGAGTGGGTTCAAAAGAGAATAAGAGTTGGGATAGTGAAGGCAACGGGTACAGACAACTTTTTTTAAAAAAGGAAGCAGAAACGTGGCAGTAGTTGAAAGGACTACCGACTACAGGGTCTTCACGATGGGTTACATTAAGGCACGTCTGTATGCTGATGATGATAATTCAGTGATGAGGGAAAACTAGGTAATGCATCAAAAAGAGGAGATGACTAAAGAAACCAAAGGACTGGTACACAAGACGGGATGGGAATGAGAGGAGAGGAAGTGTTGCCTATAAAATACATCTGAAAAGGGCTAGACTTAAATTCTAGTAGAAATGAAAGAAAAGTTTTTTAGCACAGATATATAGGCAGTCCCCGGATTACAAATGAGTTCCATTCCTAAATCTGTCTTTAAGTCAAATTTGTCCAGAAGTTGGAACAATTAGGTATGGTTCATATCTATCATCTAAGTCAAATGTTTGTCTTAGTATACAGTGTACCTTTCTATGCATAAAAAACATTTAAAGAAACACTTCCAGATACATTAAAACATCTTTGACATAACAACAACAATAATAATAATAATGTTTTGATGTGTGCCACAAAGTAGCATCCATTTGTTATTATGAACCACTGTATGTACCCTGAAGTTTTAATGTAATAAGCTTTACGGGGGTTGGTTCATAATTACCAGTTATACGTAAGTCAGACATTCGTAACCAGGGAACTGCCTATAGTAGGTAAGTTTGTGATTTTGATGATGAAAAGATAAGGCACTTTTATCAGATTACATCTATTTTTTTCAATAAACTAAGATTCAGTCATCAGTTGGAGAGGAAAGCGTGAGGCTATGAACGTCTGGGAGGAGATGAAAAGGTATACAAAAGTTATCTTACAGAGTGGGAAGAACACATGTATGATGGAAGTTTAACAAGACTGCCAGGTAATACTAAGTGTCTATTCATTCCGTATAGTCATATAATAAAAAGAAATCAACTAGAATAGCTGTATAATTTTCTTCTCTGAGTGCTGAATTCTTGGGTACAGGCAGAGAGTTGGCAGTTCGAAGTTTAACCAGGGTTAGGAGTAGTAGAAACGACAAATAAAATTAAGGGTGTACGTTGTTAGGTGCCATCAATTAAGTTCCGACTCATAGCGACCCTACGTACAACATAATGAAACACTGCCCAGTCCTTTGCCATCCTCATGATCGCTGTCATGCCTAAGCCCATTGTTGTAGCCACTGTGTCAATCCATCTTCTTGAGGGTCTTCCTCTTTGTCACTGACCCTCTACTTTACCAAGCATGATATCCTTCTCCAGGGACTGATCCCTCCTGATAACATGTCCAAAGTACATGTATATGAGAGAGCTAAATCTTGCTAAAAATAAGAAAATCTTTTCCTACATCTTTATCTATATGCTTATGGTTCATAACACAGTTATGAGTTTAAGAACTCATTCTAAGTTTTTAAATTTCAAGAAAATTAGACACAAACAACTAGATTATAATTCAGTAAATTACAATGTCCTCAAGAAAATCTTGGATTAGGACCACAGACATGCTAGAATTTCCCAATGAACTGATACTGGGATTTTAGCTGTGTAACACACACATTATTACAAAGATATGCTTACCTTGGTGTTTCCCAGGAAGTCTTTATATTCTCTTAATATTTTTTGGTTTCTAAATAGCCCTATAAAAAAAGAATTACAAAACAAGTTTACCTCATACATATTCTTATCAGTCACATTTTAGATTAACATAATCATTCTCTTTAAGATTATGCTAAATATGCTCTACTAGCTACCAGCAAAAATAGCAAGTTATTATAAGAATTCTAGATTTGCAATAAGGTAAAGGGAGTCTGAGAAAACTCTATTCTCAGCATTGCCTGAGATATGAGTTATTTAAGTCCAAGAACCAATCCTTTATATTTCAGCACAAAATTTAAAAATATAAGGAAATTATTTTTCTATTATTGTAGTTTATCAAATTTTTGTACTTTAAGTATTTCCTGTATATATAAGGCTATTCACAGTATCATTATTTGAACAGCAAAACCCTAAAAACAACCTATAAGACAATGATTGAATAAACTATGGTATATATAAAAATATGGAATATTACAAAAGGAATGAAGAAATGTCTATTTACTGCTATGGAATGCTCTCCAGGACTTACAGTCAAGTGAAAAACACAAGGTGCAGGAAGGTATGTATAGCATGTTTTATCAATGAGAGTTAATGAATGTGTATGTTTATTTTTTGTTTTTAAAAATTAAGGAAAAAAAACTAATTTAAAAAATTACCTATGAAAGAGGAAGGGAATAGGATGGAGAAGACAGGGATAGAAGGTAGACTTCCCTGAAGTATTCTGTTCTGGATATACATGTTTTATACAATTATGAAATAAAAATATATCAAAATTATTTCTAAAAATCAAAAGCAAAATGAAAACTAATGAACCTATCTTTCCATTTGATGGTTTATCTATACAGAGAGGCATTTCAAGCGACTTCAAAACATAGAAATTTGACCATACATCTGTCAGTGGATATATACTAATGACAAAAAGAATAAAGAAATCTTAAATTACACTGATGGCAATAACATCCATATGTTATTTTGAAATTGCACTGTTTTCTCTGTGTATGTCTCTATATACTGTAGAACAAAACAAATATATAAATATTTTAATTATGTTAATGAATTAGGAAATAAGATTTCAGTGTAAGAAAAAACAGATACAACAATCAAAGATTTCCACTTAGAAGTTTTCCCATCTCAACATATGAAGGAGATATTGCCACCTTTAAGCCTTGGTCCTGAGAAGAACTTAGAAATATAGTTAACGAATTCAGAATCCTTCTAAATACTTATACACCAGGGTTTCCAGATTTACACCCTCCTATCAGGAGCCTGGGTGGCTTAGAGGTGAGTGTTTGCCTGCTACTCAAAAGTTTAGCAGTTCAAATCCACCAGCCGCTCCTTGGAAACCCTCTGGGGCAGTACTACTCTGACCTATAGGGTCACTATGAGTCAGAATCGACTCAACAGCAACTTTTTTTTTTTTTTTTTTTTAATTCAGGTTACTATTATTCCTTCAAAAGCACAAAAACATAAAAACTGGGATGGAATACCAAAAGAGACTACTGAGCAGGGACTGACAAACTTTTCTGGAAAGAAACAGATAGTAAATACTTTGGTTTTGGAGGCCAAGAGTCAACATAGAGAATATTATCTAGGTACACACATTAGGAGACGAAAAGCAAATTTCTACAAATTTTTTACTAACAAAATTAAAAATACAATTTTTTGGTAACTAATGAAAAAACAGAATTCTTTTTTTTTGGGGGGAGGGGATAATATCACACTTCATTGTGATTCAAAGTTAGGGTTTTCCATTACCAAAATCAGCTGCAAATACTCAAACGTTAATGATGATTTAGAATGAGATATTATATATTTCATATTTGGAAATTTTCTTTTCATATAGATAGGTACTGCCACATACTGATATCAACCTATGAACATGTGAGTTTAACTGCGCATACTCATGGCTTGGAAGGTATGTATGCTGTTGCTGTTGTTAGGTGCTGTCTAGTCAGTTCCGACTCATAGTGACCCTATGTACAAAAGATGAAACACTGCCCGGTCTTCTGTCATCCTCATGATCGCTGTGATGCTTTAGTCCACTGTTACAGCCACTGTGTCAATCCATCTAATTGAGGGTTACTCTTTTTCGCTGACCCTCTACTCTACCAAGCATGATGTTCTTCTCCAGGGACTGGTCCCTCCTGACAACATGTCCAAAGTACGTGAGACGAAGTCTCGCCATCCTTGCATCTAAGGAGCATTCTGGTTGTACTTCTTCCAAGACAGATTTGTTCGTTCTTCTGGCAGTCCATGGTATATTCAATATTCTTCTCCAACACCATAATTCAAAGGCATCAATTCTTCTTTGCTCTTCCTTATTCGTTGTCCAGATTTTGCATGCATATGAGGCAGATGAAAACATCATGGGTTGGGTCAGGTGCATCTTGGTCCTTAAAGTGACATCTTTGCTTTTTAACACTTTAAAGAGGTCTTTTGCAGATCTGCCCAGTGTAATGCGTCATTTGATTCCACGACTGCTGTTTCTATGGGCGTTGACTGTGGATCCAAGTAAAATGAAATCCTTGACAACTTCAATCTTCTCTCCATTTATCATGATGTTGCCCGTTGGTCCACTTGTGAGGATTTTTGTTTCCTTTATGTTAAGGTGTAATCCACACTGAAGACTGTGGTCTTTGATCTTCATCAGTAAGTGCTCTATGTCCTCTTCTCTTTCAGCAAGCAAGGTTGTGTCATCTGCATACTGCAGTTGTTAATGAGTCTTCCTCCAATCCTGATGCCGTTCATCTTCATATAGTTCAGCTTCTCGATTATTTGCTCAGCATACAGACTGAATAAGTATGGTGAAAGGATACAACCCTGACACACATGTTCCTTAAATTTAAACCACACAGTATCCCCTTCTTCTGTTAGAACGACTGCCTCTTGGTCTCTGTACAAGTTCCTCATAAACACAATTAAGTGTTCTGGAATTCCCATTCTTTGCATTATCCATAATTTGTTATGATCCATACAGTCAAATGCCTCTGCAGAGTCAATATAACACAGGTAAACACTTTCTGGTACTCTCTGCTTTCTGTCAAGATCCATCTGACATCAGCAATGATATCCTTCGTTCCATGTCCTCTTCTGAATCTGGCTTGAATTTCTGGCAGTTGCCTGTTGATATACTGCTGCAACCACTTCTGAATGACCTTCAGCAAAATTTTACTTACCTGTGATATTAATGATATTGTTTGATAATTTCCACATTCTGTTGGATTACCTTTTTTTGCAATTGGTACAAATATGTATCTCTTCCAGTTGGCTGGTCAGTAGCTGTCTTCCAAATTTCTTGGCACAGACAAGGGAGTACCTCCAGCACTGCATCTGTTTGCTGAAACATCTCAACTAGTATTCCATCAATTCCTGAGCCTTGTTTTTTGCCATTCCCTTCAGTGCAGCTTGGATCTCTTCCTTCAGTACCATTGGTTCTTGATCATGTGCTACCTCCTGAACTGGGTGAACATCTACCAATTCTTTCTGGTATAGTAGCTGTGTATTCTTTCCATCTTCTTTTGATGCTTCCTGCATGGTTCAGTATTTTACCTGTAGAATCCTTCAATATTGCAACTTGAGGCTTGAATTTTTTTCTTCAGTTCTTTCAACCTGAGAAATACCAAGCATGTTCTTCCCTTTTGGTTTTCTAACTCCAGGTCTTGGAACATTTCATTGTAATACTTTTGTTTTCTCGAGCTGTCCTACGAAATTTGTTTAGTTCTTTTACTTCATCATTTCTTCCTTTCGCTTTAGGTACTCTACGTTCAAGATCAAGTTTCAGAGTCTCTTCTGACATTCATTTCAGTCTTTTCTTTCTTTCTTGTCTTTTTAACGACCTCTTGCTTTCTTCATGTATGATGTCCTTGATGTCATCCTACATCTCATCTGGTCTTCAGTCACTAGTGCTCAATGTGTCAAATCTATTCCTGAGATGGTTTCTAAATGCAGGTGGGATATACTCAAAGTCGTACTTTGGCTCTCATGGACTTGTTCTAATTTTTTTCAACTTCAACTTGAACCTGCATATAAGCAACTGATGGTCTATTCCACAGTCAGCCCCTGGTCTTGTTCTGACTGATAATATTGAGCTTTTCTATCATCTCTTTCCACAGATCCAGTCGATTTGATTCCTGTGTATTCCATGTGGCAAGGTCCATGTGTATAGTTGCTGTTTATGTTGTTGACAAAGATATCTGCAATGAATAAGCTGGTCTTGCAAAATTCTATCATGAGATCTCCAGCATCATTTCTATCACCAAGGCCATATTTTCCAACTACTGATCCTTCCTCTTTGTTTCCAACTTTTGCATTCCAATTATCAGTAATTATCAGTGCATCCTGATTGCATGTTTAATCAATTTCAGACTGCAGAGTTGGTAAAAATGTTCAATTTCTTCATCTTTGGCCTAAGTGGTTGGTGCATAAATTTGAATAATAGTCATATCAACTGGTCTTCCTTGTAGGTGTACGGATATTATCCTATCACTGACAGGACAGTTCTTTTTGATGATGCATGCGATACTATTCCTCTTCAATTTGTCATTCCCAGCATATTAGATCATATGATTGTCCAGTTCAAAATGGCTGATATCAGTTCATTTCAGTTCACTAATGCGTAGGATATCTATCTTTACGCGTTCCTTTCCATTCTTGACAACTTCCAATTTTCCTAGATACATGCTTCGTACATTCAACGTTCCTATTATTAATGGATGTCTGCAGGTGTTTCTTCTCATTTTGAGTCATGCCATATCAGCAAATGAAGGTCCCGAAAGCATGACTCCATCCACGTCCTTAAGGTCGACTCTAGTTTCAGGATGCACTTCTTCCCCAGTAGTATTTTTAGTGTCTTCCAACCTGAGAGGTTCATCTTCCAGCACTGTATCAGACAATGTTCTGCTGCTGTTCATAAGGTTTTCACTGGCTAATTTTTTCAGAAGTAGACCACCAGGTCCTTCTTCCTAGTCTGTCCCCACGCATCTGTCAGTTTGTCATACTGTGGTGGCCTGCATGTTGCTGTGATACTGGAAGCTATGCTACT